AGGGCTGCTTTGCTGGCTCTAGGCCTGGATACCATCAGTTTATCAAGGAATCCTAAAGTACAGTGTCAGGGTGGCTGTCTTCCAGCTGAATCTCAGTAGAATTTGGGTGATGCAGCAGGACAACGGCCCTAAACAACAAAGTTAATCTATTACAGAATATTCTAAAATGAAGAAATTCTACCACTGGGAGTGGCCCAGTCAGAACCCAGACCTAGACCCAACAGAGATATTGTGGAATGACCAGACATCCAACAGGATATTGGCTAAAACAGTTTTGTGAGGAAGAATCATCCAAAATTCCTAAGAGAAGTGAAAGGAGTTCTGAGCAGATATCACCTGTGAATTACAGAATATTTTGTGCCAAAACTATCCTGGCAGCACAAGTGCACAGGGCAGGCAACATGAGTGAACAATTATTAGGCTGCACCAGGCTTGACTGGTTTGTGTGAACATCTTCAGCAAAAGGCAGATATGAAGAGGTAGCAAGCAGCGCCTTGACAGTGGTGGTGACTGGTGCAGAACCTGTTTTATGAGCAACTTGCCTCGTGTTGAGACGCTTTACCCTTCAGTTTTGGCCTCTGTAATGTGGATGTAAAAAGCTTTAATGGTATACTTGTTTTTCCTCACTGCTCTTTATGAATTCCAAAAATGGGAGAAGCTCCCTTTTAAAGTTAATGGACATGTATCTGACACTGCAAAACACAGATAATGATGTGTAAGGCATAACAAAATGGGTTCAGTATCTGTAGCTTCACTCACCATCAGAAAGTTGAGTCCTAAGGACGTCTCTGTCCTTTGTCAAAGCTTCTACCTTCTCCTCCAGGTTCTCTACCCTCAACTTGTACATATTCTTTTCTGATTTGGCTTTCATTAGCATTAGATAACGTTAACTAATTTGTTCAGCAAACATTAAGATTATATCTGAATGACCTTGATATATGCTAGTCTTGTCTTATTTTTACTGTAGTATTTTGATGTAATTGCATTGCTATGGAACAACATGGACTCCTTGTCAGTTACTGATATTAGCAAACACTCCAACAGGAAATAAAATTTGGTTCAATTAAAATGTTAATGTTAGAAGGGGGTATTGTTTTCACTTCTGTTCATACATTAGTTGTTGTGTGTGCTAGCCTCAGGAGTGCTTGTGAAGAGAGACACTGATACTGGCCTTCTGCAAAGAAATAGGAGGGGTGGTGCAGCCACCACAGAAGACCTGACCCCAGTCAACTGGAGAGGTAAGACACTGTCCATCCTACCTCCTCCCTCTCCTTACTAAATGACCAGAAGTCTTATGAAATAATAGCAATTTCAGTTTAATTCACCAAATTTTCATTGTTTATCTAGCGGTTTGATTCCCAGCTTGTCCAGTCAACATGTCGACGTGTCCTTGAGCAAGACACTGAACCCCCCAGTTGCTCCCGGTGATAACACCTGTGTGAGTGTTTGTGAGTGTGAATGGGTAAATGGCCAAATAGTGTGAAAGCACTTGCTGTGTGCTGTAATGCCTGGAAAAGCGTTATACAAGTGTAAAACCATTTACCATATTACATGTAAGAAAATCACACCTAAGGAGATTTCTGTATTTGATATTATGTAGGATATGTAGAAGGAACAGGCACAGAGAAAGACCCAAGAGAAAGTCAGTGAGGTCTGGATCATTGTTCGAGAAGTCAAAATCCAGCCTGTTCTCTTGGATAACATTCATCTACAGGTATTCAAAAAATGTTTGCTCAAAAATATTATATTCAGATTTTATAAGGGGTAAAGGAATGGGTCATGGTAAATTAAAACTACACCAGTTTCTAGGATATACATATCACATCTAATTTGGAGAGTGTCTTATTTTGAACAAAACCATAGGGTCAGCCTACAATAGCTAACTGAGAGCAAGTCCCCCCAGTTGCTGATAAATGCATGTATGAATGTTGTAGCAGAGTCTCGCTTCACTACGTTGCCAAAACTTCATTGTCAGTGTACTGAACTAGGAAATTTGTCTCCCTTTCACTGAAATACAGGTTCACACAGGGGCTCCGATTACGCCAAATTGATATGATAGAGGAT